CCGAGTCTCCAGGCAGGGCCAACTCAGACATCACGTCTTTCAGGGGCCGCAGCTGCCCATAGAGCAGGACGCCCATGTTTAATCGGTAGGTTGCCTCGGAATCATCCTTCTCCTCCAAGATACACCCCCAAGGCTGATACCGCAGCGTGGCTGCATACAAGACAAGTTTCTCGTCGAGCCTCGGCCCGTACTTCACGGCAAACACGCCCGCGTCTGCGGTCATGATCTTGCGCAGCCACATCGGCAGCGGACCGGATGTCGGCTTCGGGTAGATCCGCGGACAGTGGGGCAACGCCTCGGTGGCTATCAAGCGGTGGGAGAGCGAGCGCCGGCTGGCGCTGGCTGTCTTGATCAGGGCGTCGACGTGAGCCGTATTTTTCTCCACGAACTGAATCCACTCAGCCGTGGAATACGGCATACTTGGCTCCAGGACCAAGTCGGCCTCGGCATGGTCGGCATCACGTCTCCTTTCGAGCTCCGCGAGGTTCGCGGCAATATACTCATGCAAAGCACCGTGGTCCCCCTCGTGGACGATTTCCCGCCTCTGCGCCGCGGCAACGCCCGTCTCATGTCTAAGTTGGCCCCGGGGTCTGCGGAGCCAGGCTGCGTTGTCCTGTACAGCAAGAGCCCAAACGTTGCTGAACCGTTTCCGCTTGGCCCGCGCAGCGCTCTCCCGCATCTGCCGCAAAGCCGCCGTCCGCCGACGTCCGCAATGGCGAAGCAGCACGTTCCGAGACGCCGTTGAAACGGAGGACAGCTTCCGCGCCTCACCCTTTTTAGCAACATTATGTTTGCGTTCTGCATCCAAGTCATGGGCCGATGAGTTTTTGAAAATATCCTGGAGCTCGCGCTGCACGCTGTCGGAAGTGAGGTGCTCGATAGCGCGCTGCCTATCCCCAGTCGCAGTGGCTTCCTGTCGCAGCGGCAAAGAATATCCGTAATCGAGCAGAGACTCGTCGACGTCGAGGAAGTCTTTGACAGCGTCCTGGTAGCCAACCGAATTGTAAGACTTGCACATCAGGCACAACTTGTTTGGAAATTGTCGGTATTGCTCGTAACGCATGATTACATGCGACTGCGTCTTCAGTAATCCCAAGAATGTCGCAGATACGTCTAGCAAGGGATCCGCGTGTAGCAACCGAACAATATCCTGTAACAGAAGCGACGTGCGCCGCTGCACCTCCCCGAATGCCAGCTTAACGAGCACGGGGACCGCGTCAGAAGTTGTTTTCCGAGCCGAAAGATTCACGGCAAACTGCGTGAGCCGCAGGCACAGCGCAGCTTTCCGCAGATATGTATCACTAAGTGGGTCGCTCCACCATTTCTGAAACGCCTTCAACCGATTACTACTCTCAGAAGTGCAGGATAAGTCGAACATACTTGCAGGCAAACGCAACACCGACATCCTCACGAAACAAAACACACAAGAGGTGAAAAGCCAGAACCGTGTTATCACCGGCCGTTCCTCCACTTGGAGCACGTGTCTATAAAGAACTTGATACACGCGGGCACGAACAGATGACAACTCCTCGTTGTCTGGGCAGGGGCAGGTCCACCCGGACAAATTAGAAGGGAAAATATCAACCAAACTGTCGGGGAACACATCCTTTCCGTAAAGCCGTTGCATGTTCAAGACGGCCTCGCTTGGCGGCGGCGCCGCGGCCTTCTCGTCATACCGATCGAACTGCAGAGTTGATGCGATGTGGTGCCGCAAGGCAGTCGCGAATTGGTCACAGTGTTCTGCAAGGAGATACTTAAAAAATCTCGAGCAGTTGGCCGCCAAGTCGTTTTCCTCAAGTGGGCGGGATAAAAGCTTCCCACACAAAGCCACCTCGACCACCAGATTGGCCTGGTGGCTCGCACAGCGCCACGTTATCAAACGATATTGAAGAATGCCGCCTGCACGGCGGCCGTAATGTTCAAAAAGACGTTTGGCCGCCGCCTCGTTGGTGTTGATTCCGTCTCCGATGAGGAGATGCACAACTCTGACGGCACGCTGGGGTAGAGCAGCCAGGATTTTCATAATACCTTGAACAGCATCAATCAAAGCCAAACCTAGAGTGTCACCGTCTTTCCGGCCCAAGGCCTGCATCTCAGACAGCCATTCCAACCGCTGTTCACCCATGCCGATTGTGATACAACTGTTCTGTATCTTAGAATATCTGGACCGCGTGAACAATGCGCTCCCCACGGCGGCCGACCGTGGCAGAGCGAAGCTCGCGTCTTCAACAACTGGCGTGCTCCTCAGCCGCATGCTTGCTTCATCGTGGATATGCTGAATAAAGAACGGTGTTCCGCCGACGTTCGTTGCCGACAAACGCTCGAGCTCCTGCCCATTCAGCTCTTTCAACAACTCCGCAAAAGCATCACGGGCACGTGCAACGTAGCAATGGCTCACCCCTGAGACCGCGCCAGCGCCAGGCTCTTCAGGGAACTGCGACAGAAAGTCCGCCATTGTGCGCTGAGGCACGCCGGGGGGGCTTAAGCCTGCTCGCACCAGCCATATTGCACGCATGCGCCCCCCCACTTTTGTTGTTTTTTCAGCATCGAGCCTATCTTGAAGCTTCGTGCGCGCCTTTTTCTGATACTTGAGCGTGTTCTGTAACCGCGCTAACTCCGCTTGCACATCCGACGCGGACTGCGAGGTGGCAGATGAGCGAGATCGTCGTTGCAAACTCGGCGCATCGAACTGTTGATCGATAACTTGCCACAGCTCGGCGATGCGATGCAGGAGAACATCCCCGTCGATTTGGTGCGATCTCACAGCTTCGGCTTCAGACGTCAATCTTTGCGCTAAAACATCCAAGCTGTGCAAAACAGTATTCACATCTTTGCACAAAGATTCCATGGTGTCGGCAGTCGCACGCCCCCCCAAAATGCGGGCGTGCCCAAACAGTGACCAAAGCGCAAGAAGCCGTTGAGCCAAAATGTTGTCGCGGACATATTGTGTTCATTTGCCTTTGGCGTTGTTCATTTTCTTCGTTTGGGTATCGTTTTTGAACTCGTTGTGTGTTTCCTGTTTCTTGTTACACTGTTTACTACTGCTTGTTTCTCTTCGTTTCCTTCTCAGCGATCGGTTTTATTGCTTCATTGTTTTTTGCATTGTTTACGTTGCCCGAAATGGATGTGGAACCCGAGGGAGCGGCCCCAAAATATCCCCAAAGGAGGCGCCTTGCAGGGCAGGGGTCCCAAACCCGGAACTCCCGGGAGCCGCCGAGGGGCCCGAAAAAGAAGTCCAAAAGGAGAGCACTCCTACTCACCCGAAGCTCGCCTCTGGAACCCGAAGGGCTGGCCCAAAAGAGCCCCAAAGGAGGCGCCTTGCAGGGCAGGGGCCCCAAACCCGGAGGTCCTGGGAGCCACAAAGGAGCCCGAAAAGAAGGTCCAAAAGGGGCCCTCCTACTCACCCGAAGCTTGTCTCCGAAGACTCGTCGTCGTTTCTGGATGCGCTCGTGCGGTTACGCGAAGCGTTCAGAATGCAACCTTCCTGTGCCTCCTCAGGACGGAGGGGGTCCACGACTACGACGAAGAGGAAGACGAGGACGACGACGACGACGGCGACGACAACCCCCCGTCCGAAGGCGGCTGCACAACAACTTTTCCCGCGATCGGTTCTCCACCCCAGCGGCGGCGGCGGCGGCAGCGGCGGCGGCGACGGCGACGACGACGGCGGCGGCGACGACGACGACGACGGCGAGGCGACGATGGCGACAACGACGACGACGGCGACGACGACGACGACGACGACGACGACGACGCAGCGCTGACGGCGACGACGACGACGGCGCTGACGGCGAACCCTCGGTCGCTGACAGGACGAAATCCCTCGGCCCCTCGGGGATATGTCCCACGGCGACGATGCCGCGCCCGCCGCCTCCGCCGATGACAACGACGATAGCAGCGATCATGATGACGACGACGACGGCGGCGAGGAGGAGGAGGAGGAGGAGGAGGAGGAGTTCCGGCGCTACACGGCGCTAGACGGCCTTATATGCTGAATAAGAAACACCCACATGGGTAAAAGAGGCTCCCAGGAGGAGGCACGTAAGCTGAACAAGAAGGGGGGGCCAGCCAGCCACGCTTTGGCGGTCAAGGTGATGAGCCCAACCTGACCACGCAGCGCGGGGTGGGCGTGTCGGGCCGCCTCCGTGGCCTCGGCGAACGACGTCGAGGCGTCCTGTGAGAAGGCCACGTCGTAGCCAGACCCGACCACCAGGAACATCTGGCCAATGATGTCGTCGCGGCTGCACACCGCCTTCGCCCAGTCGGCCGTCCAGAGGGCATCATTGTAGTGCCTGAAGATCGACGCCTCGCAAAGATGCAAGAACGTTCTCATGCGATCAGCCAGCCGCTCCGCCAACTTATTGTTGACGTCAGTCACCGAGTCTGCCGCGATGAACTTCTCGAGCAACGCATTCACGTGCTGCTCGAGCGGATGCGAGTCCCAGAAGTCCGCCAGCATCGCCAGAGTGTCGCGGAACGAGTTGATGAAGTCGGGCACCTTGCCAATCGGGGTGGCGGGGTCTGCGCGGATGTCGAGCACGGCGAGGGTGTCCTTCGACTGCTGCATCAGCTCAAGTACCAGACCGTAATCAGAGAACTGAGTCTCCGACGTCTTCGAGCCAGGCTTGGGCAGGCGATCAAGCGCTGCGATGAGGTCGTTGGTCATCTTTAGCTTGGTGAGCCACGTCTCGCAATTGCAGCGGGGGTCGTCGGTCGACTGATCCAGAAAGCCGATCAGAGCCACAGCAAGCTCCTCAAGGAGAGGGGCGTGCTGGAACGAGATGGTCGGAGGGGATGGGGGCGGCACTGGAGAAGGTGCCAGCGACAATGACTCGCGCCGCCCCCCCTGTTCATCCTCCGCATCCTCATCCTGTTCCGCCTCCCCCACTTTCTCATCTTCCCCACCCCTCCTCATCCTCCTCCCCCCTCATCGTCCTCCTCCGCATCTCCCTTCTTTCCCTCCCTCGGGACAGCAAGCAGTCCTGAGCCAGCTCCAGGACCAGGTCCCCACCGGAAGCCATGTACTCGCACAATGCGTTGTCGACGCTCTCGCGGCTAATGCACCTCTGGGCAAGCGGCGTTGCCTCCGACAAAATCTGGCAGATGTGGTCGAGGTGGCCAATGACGCTGGCGGCGCGGGAGACCACATCCATGGTCGAGGCGTCCTTTGCGAAATACTCCCTGGCATTGCCGACTGCTGCCATTGCGCGCTTCTGGAGATCTATGCCGAATGCGTGCCCAGAGACTGCCTGCTGGACATCGCGCATGAGCTTCTTGGCGTTGGGCCACTGGAGTAACGACCCCGCCATCGGCCAGCGGCTCTCAAAGATTCCAGTCACACACTCTTGGGCTGCCTCCAAATCGGCGGGGCCGGGAACCACGTCCTCCTGGAGCATGCACATGACCGTCTTCACAGCCGACATGTCCGCTGAGATCTCCGCCGACGCCCAGGCTGGCAGCGCGGATGAGAGCCGGAGCAAGTCCTGCTGAAGGAACTTGGGGTCCCCCTGGCATACCATAGATATCTTCATTTTCACCATATCCACAGTCATTGCATGGTGTGCTTCTGGCGTCGGGAAGCCTGCCTCGGTCAGCTTCTTGGGCTCCAGCTGAGCCCACATCTGTCCGTCCAAGGTCGCGGCCTCCAGGAAATGGCAAGGGGGCTGGATCGGCTGGACGCGGCGTCTGACCTGCTGACCCCTCTTCTCCTGAGCCGACCGCCCACGCAAACAAACCAAGCCTGTACACAGAACAAACTCAGCACCCCGCCCAAACCTGCCCCCCCCCCCTCAGCCAAAACGCAACCTCAATACCACGGTCCCCACAGGAGCCCTTGCGGGGCGCACGGTAGGTGGGGCGCCGTATCAGCGAAGGGGGCCAGCCAGTCTTTAAGGCCGCGACCCCTCACCAGAAGTCCGCTTGGCATGATCCGACGTGCCTCCACCTGCTTCGCAATGAACTCTTGCAACATCCAGTGTGGAAAAGGAACGCTCGCAAGCGGCGGCGTGGCCAGAAACGTAAGGGAAATCTTGTAGGCGGACGCAAAGGCTTTGTCAAAGCTACCTGACTTCATCCAAGCTTTGGCCATACTCAATGCCTCTTGCCCCTGTTTCCTCAACGCCTGCACTTCATCCGAGTCAATGTACAGCTCGGGTTCCTCGCCGCCCGCCTCCTTGGCGGCGGCCATCTCCTGGTTGTAGGTAGCCTCTGGGACGATCGTGTCTGAATAATCGCTGAGTGCTTTGGTCAGCTGCCTTCCGAAGTTCTGGACTGCGAAGTACTTTTCATATTGGTTCGAATTGCGGTAGTCCTCCAAGTGATTCAATAACGCAGTGCGCCTGTTAGCACGTGGGCGGCCTGGGCCACGCTTCTTCGCCTCGGCGGTCTCCTCGGCGCCAGCGCTGCCCGACGATGCCGACGACGCGAGGCGGCGCTTCTTCCCCTTCGACGCGGCCTTCGCCGCGGTCTTCGACGCAGCCTTCGCCTCTGCGGCAGGCGCGCCGCCGCCCGGGACCAGCACAGGGATGTACCCAGCAGTGAAGCCGCCGAACATGTTCGGCTGGTCGGGCGTCGTGCTCGACGGTGGCGTCGGCGGCGGCGGCGGCGTTGGCTGCGACCCTGGCGCTGGCAGCGCCGGCGCACATGCTTTCGCAAAGATGGACGGCGCGGCCTCGCCTGTCGGGCGAGAGAACGCCGCGGAGAGGCTGGTGGACAACCCTGCAAAGGCGCGGTCGAGTTGCCCTTGGAAGATCGCGTCCTGGGGGGCGTGGTGAGTACGTACCTGGCTGACGCCCTGGATGGTAACATGCTTCACCTTCCACTCGAGGCGCCCAGGAATGCGAACGCACTGCAGCCCTTCGTGCATCACGACTTGGCGGCCTTTGCCATTAGTGTATGGATCCCCAAGTTGGAGTTCCTCCATGTAGTCCTGAAGCGTCACAATGCGATCAGGTGCACGTTCACTCTGGACTTCTCTTTTTTTATAAGACGCCACCTTCTCGTCCACTTCCTTCCAAGCAACTCGCACGCCACGAGTGCTCCGCTCTGCGATGAACACCTCAACCGCCTCGCCCCTCCGCGAGAAGAACTCCGTGCAGACGTCCTTGGACGCGCCGATCACGGGCACCAGGAGGGCGCAAGTACTCGTGGAGCCCTGCTCGGCGTAGAAGCCTGACAGAGCGAGAGGGACAATAGCAAACACATGCATCCTCTGCTGCCACCCTTTCTCCTTCTCCTGCACCTTCCCCCTCTCCCCCATCTCTCCACCTCCACCTCCCCTTCCCCCGCCTTCCGATCCTGGCCCTCCTTCGCAGTCTCCACCGGCGCCGCCTCCACCTCCTCCACCGGAGGAGGAGGAGGCGAGAAGGGGGGAAGGGGGAGAAGAAGGAAGCAGGGAGGGAGAGCGCGAGAGAGAGAAGTGAAAAGGACGAGAAGGCGAAGGAAAGGGCGTCGGAAGGGCGGAGGAGAGCGAGAAAGAGGAGCAGGAGGAGGAGGCGGTGGAGGAGGCCACGGTGCCTGCGTGTACCCGCACGCAGTAAAAACAAAAATGCCCACGGTTTTTCTTCTTCTGAGGTTTGTATCCCCAATGCATACATTCCGAGGTATATACGTGGTCCAACTCAGCGTCGCTGCGTCCACAAAGCTGGCACTCCCGCCCATCTGGCATCACCTGGGAAGCGCGGCGGAAGAGAGGGCGGAGCCGTTAGGGCCGACAAGGAGGCGGGTGGAAAGGAGGACAAGTACAGGTGGGAAGACGCGGCTGGGACTCGAAGATGCACAACGTGAACTGCCAGAGGAGGCGGAGAAGAGAGGGAAACAATACCGAAGGGTGGAGAGGAAGGCGCACAGGACGACGCGGTGGAGGCTGCCGAGGACGGAGGTCACGAAAAGGAGGGTGCGGCGGACATCGACCGATGTTACGGTGCACTGGGAAAGGCAGGTGGGGGCGTGACCTCAATGGTCAGGCCGTTCTCAATTGTCTGATTCACGACCATCTTCGTGTTGTTCATGTCGCCCCACTCCCCGTAAATGGCCCTGCTCGAGTCCCCGCGGCCGTAGATGAGGTCTGGAGCCTCCGCACCCTGGTCGCTCATGGCGGCGACTCCCCAGGGCATCGGAAGAATGTGACAAGAACAGCAGGTCTCCCCACGACCTGTCTCGAGCAAGCGAGCTGGTTGCGGCGGCCAGACCAAGTTGAGGCTGAGGCGATCCGACCAAGCGGATCAGAAGAACGGATCAGAAGAACACGGTCCAAACACGCGATCCCCACTGACGAAGGTCCGAGGGCCAGAGTCTACAAACCCCACCGAGATGCAGGACATGGTGGGGGCGGGGCGGTTCTTGACCCTGCGGTGGCAGGAGGAGCACGAGGTGGAGCAGGAGGAGGAGCAGGAGGAGGAGCAGGAGGAGGAGCAGGAGGAGGAGCAGGAGGAGGAGCAGGAGGAGGAGCAGGGGGAGGAGAAGGAGGAGGAGCAGCAGGAGCAGGAGCAGAAGGAGAAGCCGCAGGAGAGTCTGGAGGAGGCGCGGGAGGGGCAGGAGAAGCAGGAGGCGTAATGGAGGGGCAGGAGGCGGAGCGTCTGGTCAGGCAATCTGGGAAATCACTCAACCTGGGAAACCTGGCCGATGGAAAAAGCAGCGACCCCTGGGCCCCACGAGCTGGAGACAGGATGGGCACGCGCAGAGGGACAGGCGGGCAAGCCAAGAGAGCCATTACTTCTGGAACGCAGCGTGGCACAGACATTCATGCTTCGTCGCGCAACCCAGATGCTCGGTACCAGACGCACGCGAGTCGAGTCTGGTCGGGCGGTGGAGGGCGCATCTAGGCGACGGTCAGCGCTGGGCCTCAAAAGCCGCGCTTGGAAAGGTATGTAACAACATCCTGCGGCGTCCGTCGTGGGCCCCCTCCACCTCTCACACGCTTCATCCGTCCATCCTCCTCCGCCTCATCCTAGAGCTTCAGACCCTGCTCCGCCCCCATCCGACGCCAACCTTCGCGTCCGATTTGGGCCGACGCAGCTTAGCGACGACGACCCAATCCAACGAAAGCTGCCAACGCTACAGCTGCAAAGGGGAACGCAGAGTAAGCGTTACCCACTAAAACCCTGGCGGTCATCTCGTCCACCTCCCCCTTGGCGCCGAAGTACCCGATCAAGCGCAGGAGAAGCTCGCCAGTGATCAGCCTCGGCGGCAACAGAGACAGCATGGTCGTGGACACTCCAGAGGACAGAGGGGGACCACGGATAGGCGGCGTGGGCAGAGAATGATGCGGGCGTTGGGACGTGGGCCACGCCCTCGATGAATCGCGGTCCTCACATACTTCCCGCACATCACCTGCCTTCCGCGCTTGGCCTCCCTCGACTCTCCCCCGATGCTGGCCTTCCTGCAATCCCTGTCCTCCTCCTCCTCCGCACCATGCTCATCCCCTCTCCCCTTGGGCTGCTTACCGCTTTCTCGTGCCCCTTTTGATCTCTATCCGCGGGCCTCCAGTTGTGCGAACCATCCGAGCCGACCACGCGAAGCATGAGGACGCTCTTCGTCGTCAACGTGGGCATGGCGTCGCGGAACACCTGGCCGTTTCCATCTGGGCCCAGGTGAAAGCGAAGCGACAGATTAATATCACTCCACTGCAAGCTTCCCGGTGCCGTTGGCCAGGGGTCGCACTCTTCGCCGTAGATCGACACCTGGGCTCGACCCGCCACATGGTCAAATGCACCGCCCCCACCCCCTGCCGACGGGCGTAAAGGTGAGAGGGGAGGCGGGGGCAGGACGGCCGCCCCTGGGACAGGTCCGAGACGGAGCTCCTGGAGGGTAAGAGGGCATATCGTTCAAGATGCATGGGAGGTGGCGGGTGAACCCGTCCCCTCTCTAAATCCTGGCCCGCCAGATCCTCCCCGCCATCGTCACATCCCCCTCATCCTCCTCATCCACGCGGCACGCCCTACTCCTCCTCGTCATCCTCTGTTGCGCCCTGCGAACCTCCACTTGAGCGGGTGTAAGCGATGCCATCACGACCTGCAAGTCCCGCGGGTAGCTGTAGATATCACGAGGGTACTTGATCCCCGCGCCTTCGAAGTACACAATGTGGCACTCCGATAAGCCCCGAATACGTTTCGATTTCGGCTCAGTGTCGCCATCGTACAAGGGGATATCCTGCCAGTCGAAGAAGAGCTCCAAGGGAACGATGGGAACCTTCAGCAGCGGCACGAGCCCAGAGTACGCTCCAACAGCTGCGCCGCAGCTGTCGTGAAGAAAACCCACCACCGCCATCCTCGCCCGCGCCACCGGAGAGCCGTAGTCCGTCGCCGCCACCCTCAAGGCCTCGGAGGAGGGCGATGGAGGCTCAATCGAGGTGCTGAGGACCCCCGAAGCGCGGCGACAGGGACCGCCCGACGTTCTGAGACCCTGGGGAGAATCCCGAATCGGATCCACGATGGCGACGAAAGCCACAGGGTTCCATGACGCGGCGCGCACACCTACCACCGCGCAGGTCGAGAGGCAATCCGACCATCGGAGTCCTGGGCAGATCACGGCCTTCCCGAAAACAGATACCAGACTGCCCCTACACATCGTCACGATCTGACGGCCAGGGGCGCGACACGAGCGCTGTACCCGAAGCGCTTCAGGATATCGCAGATAGCCACGCTGTCTGCGCAGAGCCCAGGTTCCCCCTCCGCCATGAGGCTTGTCAGGTTCTCAAGGATAACCAGCCCGGGCCTTGCGCGGGCCAAGTATGCCTCCGTGTAGCCCCAAGCTTCCCCCGTCGCGCCTTCCCCTGTCTGTACTGGGGACAGGCGTAAGCCACGGGTCTTCCCGTTGAGTGCGGATTTGGTAGTGCACGTAAACCCAGCTGCGAAAATATCGACCGCGGGTACCACAACCTTCTTGCCAGATTTGACATCCAAAGCACGAGCACGGGATAACCTCGGCAGGCGCTGCCAGGGGGAGGGCGTGGCGGGTGGCAAGCGGCGTGGCCGCTGTCACCACTGTCGTCGCGGTGCCCCCGCTGAAGCCGTCGCCGACGGCGCCTCACAGCCCCCGCCGCAGCGTCGCCGTCGCCGACCCCATCTCCCACGTCGATGCATTCACCAGGTGGGAGGAGGCTATGAGGGGTGGGGAAGGAGAGGCGACGTCAAGGAGGGAAAGGGAGGAGGCGGGGCGCGGAGGAGGCAGGGGGGCGGTGGGGGGCGGGGGCTGAAGGAGGCGAAGAGAGGGAGGGTTAAGATAGAGGTGGAGGAGGGTGGGAGAGGTCTACCCTGCCCCCAACTTCTCCAGTGCAATCCCGAGGCCGCGACTCTGCCATGTCGGCAAATAAATACTGCGTCTCAGGGAACTCTCGCAGCAGAAACGCCTGTTGAAGATTCCCCTTCTCGCGCTGAAACATGGGGCGGAAGTTCACGACCTTGCTGAACCTGGCCCCCCACTCCCTGGCGAACCCCTCCAAGATCTTCGTGAACACGTCGCTCCCGCTGAAGCCTGCCCGCACGGCTCGCGGGCAGAGGAGGGGCAAGCGATCGGCAAGGCGCAGGTGGGCAAGCGGCTCAGGAGAACGCGGGGGCAGGAGCGAGTGCGAGGGAGAGGGAGGGCGGAGCGAGCTGGAGCGGGGCAGGGTGGAAACGCGGAGGAGAGAAGACGACGAGGAGGGGAGTGGGAGGGGCCGCGATGGTAGGGACATCGGCAAGGCAGGCGCTGGAAGAAGGAGGAGGAAAGGGGGGTGAGGCGGGTGAGGCAGAGGCGGGCGAGGCAGAGGCAGAGGAGGGGTCTGGCAGAGGCAGAGAGAGGAGGAGGCGACAACAGGGGAGGTGGGCAGGAGGAGCGGCAAGAGGCGGCGAAGGCCGGGAGAGGCGAAAGGGGCGTTGCGCTTACGGCGGGGCAGGAGGAAGCGACGGCGGTGGCCGCGGCGACAGAACCTGTGCCAACCCTGAACTCACCGTCGTTGTGGGAGATGGCATCCAAGAGGGCAGGGACGAACTGCGGCGGTAGCACATCGTGCATCTTGGCGATGCTGATCTCGAGCGGGTCGCGAGTGACCTGGGCGCAGGCGCCGCTGTCGCCGCTGCCCTGGCCCTCGTCGCCGCCGTCCCCCTCGCCGACGCTACCTCCTGCCAGCCAGAGGGTCCCTGCGGACGTGCTGACGCCCGCAGCTCAGGCCCTGCA